TAAACCAGGCTGCTCCTTGGAGGCAAGGATTCTGGGGCTTCGTCTGACATACTTTGGACATGTTGTAAGGAGAGACAGGTCTTTAGAGAGGGATATCATGCTGGGTACAGTAGAGGGACAGCGCAGGAGGGGAAGACCCTCTATGAGGTGGATTGATTCAGTGACTGGGGTTCTGGGGATGGGTGTGTCAGAGGCAATGAGATTGGCACAGGACAGAGAGCACGGTTTAGGGCTGCTGTACATAGGGTCGCTATGAGTCGCAAACGACTCAACGGCACATAACAACAACAACAACAACAGTCTGACGTGAGAGATAAAAATTAGTCTCCAGCCCTTATCACTCTATTTATAAGCAACATTTGGGGATGCAAGCAACAAAAATTTCAGGGGTCCTCTCAGATCTTGGGAAAATCTTGATCAGTTAGACAGATATTTATTTTGGAGAGTCAATTCACCCTTTGCCATGATTTCATCTTAAAAACATGCTTACTGGATGTTGTTATTATGTGCCAGCAAGTCACTTGTGATTCATACTGACCCTATGGACAAGAGCCCTAAATCCTGCTCTATCCTGTGCCAACCTCATTGTCGCTGACACACCTACTCTACTACCAACTGCCTCTTGGTCCAAGTATAGATTTCTCATATGCACAATCAAATGTTCTGGGATTCCCATTCTTCTCAGAGTCAGCCACAGCTTGTTGTGGTGCACACAGTCAAAAGCCTTACTGGATACAAATCTTTAATTAGCATAAAAATTCAGAGAATTCACTGCTTCTAAGTAGATTCTGATTCCTAGCAACCCTTTAGTACAGAGAGCTGTGCCAAAAAGTTGCCAAGGCTGTATACCTGTTTAAAAGCTGACTGCCACATCGCTCTTCTGTGGATTCCAAACACCAAAGTTTAAATTAGCAGCTGAGCATTTAACCACTGTACCACAAGGGTTCTTTATCCCCACATGGACAAAGAATTGCTACTTTTTAGGTGGGAAATCTCTATATCTACAGAGCAAAATATTCATTAGTTATCACAAGACCCTGAACACAAGGTTTTGTTCTAATACGGGGAGTGGTGAGGGATTAGTAAAATAAACAATCAGAACCTTACTGAAACAAAGGCTTTTTAAAAAAATTCAGTAATGATTAGTTTTTGCACTGCTTATAGAAAACTAGGTTTTCTCCCTTTTTCATCTTCCCATCCCAAATTCAATTTAAAATAAAAAAGTCTTACCTGCTGTTACTTTATTTAGAGTCACTAAGGAACTGAGGACCTTGTTAAAATTCTGCCCCTGATATAAATCATTTGCATCAAACGTCTGAAACGAAAAATAAAATAAGCAAATTAGTAGTCTTACGTTGAGTATAAAGTAAAATAAGTTCTCCCAGTGTGATAATTATGTGTAAATAATTATCAGCTAAAAATTATAAGCCTGAGATGCATTTTAACAGGCTAGGTGAAGAAAGCATCACAATCTTAGGATAATAAAGTCCAGAACCATATTTTTTATATGCATATTTCAATTCCTTGGCCTAAGATCAGTGTCTATTAACTACCTACCCCACTCCACTCATCTTTATAAACTGAGGGAGAGCTCCTTTTTTATAGTTTATGAAGCCTGATGTGCTGCTGGAACCCAATAAATGCTCAGTGCTAAAGTAAGACAGTCCTTTTTTTCTAGGTTAGCACAAAGACTGGACAGAGACATAATAGAGATTTTACTTTTTCATCTGAGCAAAAGACAAAATGATCATCCATTCCAAAGTTTATTGGTTTTCAGTATTATAAATTCCTCTACAAAGAGGAATGATTTCATATGATCCTTTATTCAAAATAGACCAAATCTCTTTAATGTAATGATGCACAGTGTTTGATACACTGGTAGTCTGATCCTACATGTTGGGATATCACCCATTTCTTCATTCTTTCCTATTACCTTTTACCTTTAGTGCTATTTCTCTAACTCAGAAAGGGCCAGTGGTGATGAGGGAAGAAATTCAAGCTGCTGTGAAGGCTCTATCAAAAAACAAGGCCCTAGGAATTGATGGAACAGCAACTGACATGTTTCAACTAAAAGAAGCAGTTCTGACCATGCTCAGCAAGCAATGTCAGGAAATCTGGGAGACCGGGCCAAGTGACTTGAAAAGATCCTTATTATTTTCTCATATGCCAGAAACGTGAGTCAACAAAATATGAAAATTATTGAGCAGTATTTTTAATATTACATGCAAGCAAAACATTGAAGATCATCAAAACTGGTTATAACAGTACATAGAGAACTTAAAGACGTTCCAGCTAGGTTTAGAAGAGGCTATGTGGTACCAGGAATATCAGTGTCGATGTCAGATGGATCCTAGGGAAAAGAAGCGGATACCAGAAGAATGTCTATTTGTGCTTTATTAACCATGCCAAGGCATTTGACTATGAGGATCATACAAACTATAGCTAACATTGAGAAGAATGGAAATTCTAGGACACTCAATTGTTCATATGCAAAATCTATACCTAGACCAAGAAGCTGTTGTCTGATCAGAGCAAAGGAGCACTGCATGGTTTAAAATCAACAAACGTCCTAATGGCAAGAAGCTGCACTGCAATCCCAGAGGTACACTGTTCAAATCCACCAGATGCTTTGCTGGAAAAGGAGGAGCAATCTCCTCCTGTACCAGTCAGATCCAATTTGACAGTACACACACACACACATACAAAATAATAAAATAAAAAAGAAATAAAATCAACAAATGTGTGTGTTAAGGGTGTATCCTTTCTCCATACCCATTCAATCTGAGTAAGTATTCAGAACAAATCATTGGAGAAGCTGAACTTGATGAAAAATAATGTGGCATCAAGACTGATGGAAGACTCATCAACAACCTGCATTATGTTGATGATACAACCTTGATTGCTGAAAGCAAGAACATGTGGTGCTTGTAGCAGAAGATCAAGGCTTACAGCCTTCAATGTGATTTACACCTCAACAAAAATCCTGATCATTGGGTCAGGAGACAACATCAAGAGTGATGGAGAAAAGATTGAAATTGTCAATGATTTCATCTTCCTTGGATCCACAATCAAATGCCCTTGGTACTAGCAGTCAGGAAATTTAAAATATTGGGAAAATTTGCTATCAGGGATCTCCCCAAAGTTCTTAAGAGCAATGATGTCAATTTAAAGATGAAAGTGTGCTTGATTCAAGCCATGGTTTTTCCTATCATCTGCTATACATCTGAGAGCTGAACAATGAATGACAGAAGAAAAACGGATGCCTTTGTGTTGTGGTATTGGAGAAGAGTAATGAATATTCCACAGACCAAAAGAGCAAACAGCTATGTCTTGGGGAAAGTGCAGTGTTCTTTAGAGGCAAGGATGGCGAAGCTTCAGCTCACACACTTTGCACATGTCTATTCCTAAGAAAGGGACATCAGGCTTAGAAAAGTGGAGGATGAGAAAAAGAGATGAAGACTATGAATGAAATTAATTGATATGGTAACTGCAGTGATGGGGATAATCAGGATGGCATAGGACAAGACAGAATTCAGATCTGTTCTCCATGTTTGTCGGTGAATCATATGTGACTCAATGGCACCTAAGAACAACAACAACTCAATCATTCATTGCCCTGATGTCAGAACAGGCTTGTATTTGACCCCCACGCAGGTTTTCGAGCACTCTAAATCACGTGGGAGGTAACTGTTCATCTCTCTTCCACAAAGTAGCTAGTGGATTTGAACCACCAGATGCACAATCTTTGGTTTAACAGCACAGCTCCCTATAAACTACACTATCAGCTCTCAACTCTAAGTCAAAGCACCTCTTAAAAAAATTTTCCAGTAACTCCCTCCTCCATCTCTTCCGGATTCCCCCTCCCCACCCCTTTTCCTGCCTCTTATTCATCTTATTTCCTGACAGACCACTTCCTTGATATTCTTGTTTCTCCCACCAAAGGACACTAGGGCTCACAGCATAGGCTAATGGAGCAGATTTATAACAATTTTAACTTTATTTTCAATGTCTACACTCCCCTATAGATAAGGCGGCATTAAGTACATTTTCTTTCCTATAGTGCATCTTCTAAAACCTAGCAAAATGGATGGCACACAGTAAAATCTGGAATATTTACTGAATGACTAAATACATGAATCCATCCACAGGATGCTAAAATTTGACTGGAAATGGAAATTTACAAGAGAGAAGATAAAAGCTAATCAAATTTGAGCAGTTATTCTCTTACTCGAAAACAATTTTAAATCAATAAACTTGGCTATAATTTCGCTAATGAGTCAAAACAGATATGAAGTATATTTAAAATGTTTTTAAGCAGAAATTTTTAGAAAGGGTAATTTGTTCATTGACAATTACCTCAAAAATCATGGAGATAAAAAAAGCAAAAAAAACCAGTTTGATGCTTGAAATTTCAACAGATTAAAATTAAATAGAATCAAACTTAAAAACGTATGGATGAATATAAGTATTATATGTACTTTTACTGGTATCGTATACAATAAAGATGAAGCACAAAGTACAACTAACTTACTGAGGCATATACTTCTGGTAAGAAGAACCACCACTTATACAACAATATAGTATTGAGAATCATGCACAATTTAAATCATTTGTTGCAATATCTACTTTTAAGACTAAATACCAATTAAAATAAAAAGCATTATTTATTTAAGTTGACTTATAGCTGCTGTATTCCAAAAAGACAGAGGTTAAAATGCATTTTTAAAGTAATAAAAACCATTAGCCATAATTGGCCTTTGCTTCCATATGTTAAAAGTTATTTTATTTACATAATATTAGAATTGCTGATCTACATGTTATTTCAACTGTAAAGTTCTAAATTTAAGAGACTAGAAAGTTCAAAATGATATCTGATCCTCTTAAATATATATATATATATAAAACATAGATAACACATATATAAATTTCTACTAACCTTCATTGTGGTAATGCAGAGAGTCACAAAACTCAGAAAAACAGGATGTTAAAAATGAAGTTTCCTGTTATTCCAGAATTATATATCTTTCTTACTTGGATACTAGGAAGCATATAATTGGCTAGAACTACTAACCAATGAGCTTCAATATGACATCAGAACTCCACTGAATATTCATATATACCAAATTGCTTAACAGGAAACTAAACAATGAGATAAGACAAATGTTTGCCACTTCAAGAAAAAAATGTGTATTCTTTGCCAGTAAAATGTTTTGACTAAAGCTCTTCTCTATAGAGAGATAACAGACTATTCTCTGAAATAGGAACTTATTCAACAAAGAAAAAAAAACAAAACTCTTGGCATACAAAGAAATTTTTAATAGCCAAACAAAGTGGAAAACCTATTAGAATTTTATAGATCTATAACTACCAAAAAAAAAGTCAAGAATATATAACAAAATTTCTAAGATCTGAACAAGTTAAATTGCTTGCTAGTGATAAGACAAAATAAATGCATAGTCTGAGTAAGAATTAATCCTATGCTCAGGCCTTTTTCTCATCAGATTTGAGTCTTTGCAACAATAAAAAGGAAACAGGTGGGAAGGAAGCAGAAACCACATTTCATTGTTTCCAAAAGTTTTGCAGATACCATCTGGAGCAGTAGTTATTTAATAAGAACTATACATTTGAAACTCAAGATCTTTTCTAAAGATCCATACTAATGAAACTAAATTCTCTAAGAAAAGGATAAGGTATCAAAAATATAACAGCACATTGAAAGGGAACTTCTAAAAGGTAGGAAGCATCTCACTCTCTGATTTCAAATCCTATTATACTGCCATGGTAGTTAAGACAGCATGGTACTGGTACAATGACAGACACATGGATCAATGGAATAGAATTGAGAACCCAGAAATCAGCCCATCTACCTACGGTCAACTGATTTTTGACAAGGAGATGAAATCAGTTAAGTGGGGAAACAAAAGCCTTTTTAACAAATGGTGATGGCAAAATTGGAAAAGTATCTGCAAAGACTCAAGCAAGATTCATACTTCATTCCATATACAAAAACCAACTCAAGGTGGATCATGAACCTAGGACTAAAACCAAGGACTATAAACTTCATTAAAGAAAACCTTGGAAGAACGCTAGAAGTCCTAATCCACAACATAAACAGTCTTCTAAGTATCCCAAAAAACTTACGACCAAGAGAAGATAAAATAGATGAATGGGACCTTCTAAGAAACAAATACCTATGCACATTCAAAAACTTCTCCAACAGGGTAATAAAGGAAGCCACAGACTTGAGAAAAGTATTTGGTAATGACATGTCTGATAAGGGACTTATATCTAGAATTTATAAAATACTTGAACACCACAACAAAATAAAGGTAAATAAATAATCC